GGGAGGGGAGGGGAGGGGCGCGGCGGGCCCACAACACTGTGCACACGCGGCGACCTGGCGCGGGGCGCGGGGCGGAGCGCGCGGCCCTCCCTCCGCCTGCTCCCTGCCAGCCCGCCGACCCCCAGCCAGGGCGCCGCAGCCCCCGACCTCCCGCAGCCTCTCTGGAGCCCCCCTTCCTTTGTCGCTGTGAACCCCCCCTCCTCGGGCTGGAGGGGCCCAGGCAGAACCGCGGCAGACGCCTCGCTCCCCGGAGGGCTGGGTGCTCCCTCCCGGTTCCCCCCGCTCCCGCCCCCGGAGGCCAGCCTACGCGTTACCAGCAGACACGAGGGGGCTGCTCTGCGGGGAGGCCTTTCTCCCGAGGCCACTACTGACCTTGAAGCTCCTGTGACCCCGGGTGACCCACCCGCTTCAACGAGTGCGGCTCAAACATCAGAAACTCACATCGTTTTATTTCTTAAAATTCTGCAACCCAAGCAATCTTAACGCAGAGTTATGAACAATACACTGAGAAGGCCGGCCCTGAACGCTGCCACCTCAGCCGCGGAGAGGAAAGCAACTCCGCAAGGAGTTACCTGCATGGGGACAGGCGACAGTTTAGAGGAACGGAGACCGAGTCAAGAAAAGTAACTGACGCTCCTCTGTCTCAGGGCAGGAATCTTGGTGATCCTTACAACTGTGTGTCATTGTGTTGAAAGAATGGCAAATGTCAGCAGAGGGTTGTCGCCGGCCCACGTCTGTCCCAAACGATTGTGGATTCATTTTTGCCAGCGTTTCTAGGGTGTGTGAAAGGAATCAACAGCTCCGTGGGCTCAAGGAGAACTTCAGCAGGTAGAGCGGGAAGAGCTGGTGACTGTCCACCTCCCTTTTTCAATAAGTAGGCACCGTGTGTCAATATCCCACCTTACCCCTTTTTAAACTAAGGCAACAGGACAGATTCATCTTTTCCAGGATCCCTGCACTTTCCCTGCCCCAGATATATAGTGCGATTTGTCATATAAAACATTGTACTTCCGCTCATCTACAGCCCTTGACCAATACAATCCGTTGTCCTGGCAAAGCAGTTCAATAAGTAGGCACCGTGTGTCAATATCCCACCTTACCCCAGGATGCTAAGGAGTGTTGAAATAACTTGCCCAAGGCCACAGAGAAAGCTTGAGGCAGACCCAGAAAGAGACCCCAGGTTTCTTTCCACACATTCACGGAGAAAGCTCTCAAACTCCTCTTCTGTTTAGCGGCAACGTTCAACTCTTCTAACCAATAATTAAGTTTGTGACAGCGATGACAACACATCTTGCTGAGGTCTTCTTGCTTCTTGTATTAATACTTGGACCCACAATAACAAGTACTGATAATTAGAGATGTTGTTTCTGTTTTAATGCTTTGGGGAGGGAGGAGTATTCTAGTTTAGAGTAGGGCTTTCTGAAAATAGTTCTGATTGAAAGGCAAGTTTAGGAAGAGCCAGAGGAAATCAGATGTTGCTGGGATGTAGGTTCAGATCCTGATTCTACCATTTACTAGTGCCTTAGGCATGGCATTCAGTCTCCTTCTAGCCTCAGTTTCATCTGCTGAAAAGTGGGACTGATGATTATGAAGATTAAATAATGAGGATTAAAAAAATAATGTATTAAGACACTTAGTACATGCTGCCGCATGGGAGTGTGTAGTTTAGTAAAGTCCAGTTACCATAATGTAGGTGAAGGGTAACAAAGTCAGGACCAGACAGCAAAGGAGGATGCTGAGGAGGAAGGGAGAACCGGGAGTGGGGGTGGGGGGACGGAGCCCAAGACTCAGAGAAATTGCTAGATGTGATACAGCTGTTCAGTGTCTGGACCAGGGCTCATGACTCTCAGGCCTGTACTCACTTCACTTTAATTCGATTCCACACGCAGTTAGAGAAGAACTTCCATGGGGAAAGCAGAATTTTTAAAGTGAGTAAGAAAAATATAGATTTTAGAATAAGATAGCTACTCCAATAACTGTAATTCAAGACATTAAATATTAAGTGCCAGCAAAGTGTTTACAGCAGTACTGAGGAGGGAGGCCTGCCTTCACAAAAGAGGCAGCATCCCAGTACCCCTGTACCACTTTACTTACATCAATCCCTTCCACTATTCAATAGTTAATAAGGGGTTAGACAGTTTTTCAAAAATATGATCATAAGATTAATAATTATAATGTCTATTTAACTAACTAGATAAAGCCTTTAAGCTTTATTTAAATCTACCTAGTTTATCTAGAGACAGTGATTCCCTTTATATTAATAACTGATGGAAAACTAATGCTGTGTTAATTTAAGACACCAGACACTTTGGTGTCTTGGGTCAAATTCATAAAATTTCCTCACAAATAATGAATCTGTTTTCACTAATATACTCACCTAACATCTAACCATAAAGGTGTGTTAGGGCCAGGCTACCTTCACATCTACAAAGTGTTCAGCTTGACCAAATTGCTTCTGGCCTGAGATGAGCATAAAATCGAACCCAGTCCCAGTGAGAAGCAAAATCATCAAAGACAAGGGTCAAATGTTACAGAAATATCTTCTGGTGTGTTTACTGTCTTAAATTCTGCATATTTCGAGTAAAACAATTATGGCATCTTATATTGTACTTCTCTTTTATAATTGATTGAGTACATTGGTTTTGAAAACACCAGAGAATCCTGAGAATTAATTAGAATCTAGCTGGGCTTCGTGTCTATTCGGCAAATGGACCACATGGACTATAAATTTAACTATATCCAGCAGCATTCATGTGCACAGTGAAATAGACACTCCATGTGTGTAGGAACAGTACTGTATTACCTAGCATCTTACTCTTAAAAGTTTTAATAATTAGGAATAAAGAAAACATTTATAGGAGTTTTTAAAATTCAGTTGTACTTTAGAAATTAAAATTATCACTGAAATATTTCACACACATATTGAATGCCCACTCAGTATTATACTTAAGACCATGTTAACAATCTTGTATGCCTAGCCTCACACAAGTTTAGTCTAATAGGAGAATTGGATCAGTATTCACCAAATAATTATTGTCCACCTATTTTATACCAAGCACTGTACTGCAGGCTGGATAGTAAGTTCCTCCTTCAAGAGGTGCCCAGTCTGGAAAAAGTTTCAGACATGAACGGTCAGCCACTAGAGTATAATAGGCACTAGACATCAGGAATGGTGGTGGTACCCAGAGGAAGTGGTCACTCCTGGAAGAGAGGAAAGAGAAGGAGGTGGAAGCAGGCCATCTAGAGCGAAGCTGTCCAAGAGAAACATCAAGAGAACCACATTTGTAACTTTAAGTCTTCTAGTAGCCAGCCACAGATGAAGTTAATTTTAATAATATATTTAATTCAAGCCAGTATATCCTACTATCATTTCAACATATAATCAAGTTTTTAAAAATACTAATGAATATTTTCCTTGCAGGACATTTGGTCCTGTCCAAAACATCCATGAGCATATTTGGTCCATGCCAAATGGTTTTGGAAAGGACCAAATATCAAGGACCTTTTGGCATGGACCAGATGTCTCCATGGATGTTTTGGACAGGACCAAAAATGACCAAATATCGAGACCCTTTTGGCATAGACCGAATGTCTTATGGAAGTTTTGGACAGAACCAAGTGTCTACTAACCAACATTTTTCATACATTTTTTTGCCTACTAATTCTTCATGACCCCATGTGTAGTTTATACGAACAGCATGTCTCACTCTGAACCTGCCCTCCATATGCATACACTCACGCATTCACTCGTTCGGCAAACACTGAATAACCAGCACATGTCTGACCTTGTGAGAGCTCAGTGGCTACATGTGGCTCTTGGCTGCCATATTGGACAGCGCAGCTCTGGAGGATGGGACTGCCAATGGCTGGAAGCCACATGCACTGTCGAGAAGCTTACTCACAAGTGGACTGAGCTCTCTGAGGGCAGAGGTGGTATAACTCACAGCACTTCCCCAGAATTGTTCTCCCAAGGCTGGAGGCACGCTAGTTACTCAGTAAGTGTTTGATGAATGACTGAATAAATACAGAGGGATGGGGGAAAGATGGTTTCTTGACATAGATATGAATCTTGTAATAGTATAGCTGTGCTTAGGGTAAAAGGCAGATTGAGAAAAATAAGAACAGCACTTAGGCTCCACAGAGCTTCTCTGTTGTGCAACATTAAACATAAGTCTAAAAACAGTGGTTTTTCTATTGAAGCTTGAGCTCATATAAATTGTATGGGTGAGAATAACAGCCAATGAAAGAAAGGAAAAGAAAAGAGGAAAGGAAAAGAGAGAGGAGGAGCCTTAATAATCCCCTAACCTACTGAAAACTGTCATCAGTCATGAAAAGTACTCAGAACGACCTGGTTCAAAACAGAAGAGAATTGCACAGGACAGGGTGGGCCCATCTCCTTTCCCCTCGCATCCAATGGTGTATCTTCACTTCCAAGGCTGGTGAGATCCATAAGGCACCTGACTCACCAGCTTGTGATTTCAGATGGGGTGGTATTGACTTTCATGTCCCAACCATGTGCCTTCCAAGCCCTCACCTTCAAAATACTCCAGATCACCCTCAACCAGTCCATCAGCTACAGTCACCAAAGTATCCACCATATTCTTGCTGTCCTGTTCCAGTCCCTAGCAATGCCTGGAAGCTGTGTCAGCACTGT